ATATTACTACTGTTATGTCAAAGTTCAAAGAGAGGAAAAGCCTAGAAAGCAGCACATGCCTCCTAGTATTGTTCATTCATTCACAACAAAGCTCACTGGGAGCAGCCAGACAACACCACATCATCATGTGTCACCACGGGTCATCTCTGTGTAAGGCACAAGGCCCCCCTGGCCCCAGGGCTAGCCCTTCCTTCCCCAGGTACACATCTGGGAAAGCCTCCATCCACTCCAACCAAATGTCTTGCATTGAGGATGGCAGCGTGGTGCCAGGGTTAGCCCAGGGGCAGGGAGCCCTGCTGGAGGGGAATTCAACCCCAGCTTGATTTGCATGGCTTGGGTGAGTCACATTTTTTAAAGAACTTTCAATTTCCAAAGCCACTTCACAAGGGAAGTATCGGGGTGACTGCCTTATATTGGTGAGGCTGGCTGGTCCCTGGTCTGAGAGATGGCGGGTGTCACCTTACCTGCGTGGGCTTCAGCTTTGGGAGGGGCTTGGCAGGTGGCGGCAGCTGGAGCTGGTAGGGAAGAAGTGGGGAGTTTGAACCCACAGACCAGCCTGCCCACGGCCGAAGCTTGCCAAATCTGTTAGGTTCTGCTCATGTCTTGCCCTCCCTGTAAAGCAGCCGCTTTGCTGGCCTGGGTCTGCAGATTCTGGCCAACTGGCCTCCATTTCCCAAAATGTTTGCATACCTCCAGAACGCTTAGCCCCCCCCGCCCCCCACCAGGGCTCACCTGGTCCGGTGTCTGCTGGGGATAGACAGGGACTGCGGCGGCTGGACTGGACATGGCGGCGGGAGGCTGCAGGGGACAGGGCTGTGGGCTTGGATCTAGGAGCAGGGCTGCGCACACCCCACCCAGAAAGCCTCTCCACACCAGGACCCAGGTTCCACGCCTCTCAGAGAGGAAGGAAGCAAAGTCCCCGTGTGGTGGGGGGGGACCATGCCTGAGCTCCCCATGTGCCATCTGTCCCCATCCCAACCATCAGGAGCAGCAAGGGTCCTTCTTTTCAGAACCCAAGGCTGAACACCCCCAGACCTGCCAGGTCAAAGATCTCAGAGCTCTGAGGTCAAAGGCAGACTCGCAGTGCAGTCCTTGGAAGGCAACCCCTAGCACCCAGGCTGCTTCTCCAGGGGTGACGGCCTGTGCACCGGCTGTGACAGGGCTTCACCAACCCCAGGCACCACACTCTGGGCAGGAGGGTGAGGGACCTGCAGGTCCCATTACTGCAGCTCGTGAACCTAGTGGAGGACAGTGCTCACCGCAGGTGGGGGCCTCTTGGGGACCAGTGTGGGCTTGGGGGGCTGCCTGCTGCAGGTGGAAGCCAGCCCTGGGGGCCCTCGAACGTGCTCCTTGGCTGACATGCCTCTGCTTCTTCCATAGAACAGAGGGTTGGGGAGTCCCGCGGCCTCAGGCACAACACCCCTGGAAGGAAAAAAGAGGCCATTGTCAGGCTGGAGGGATGATTCACACGGGAGAACACCTGCCTAGCAAATATGAGGTCCTCAGCTCGAACCCCAGCACCACCACCACCACGGGAAGAAGACAATTACCTAGCCATGTTCCTGGACAGGCTTTGGGGCTCCTAAACTCAGCCCCTATGGAGCCTAGCTAGGGTTTCTAATCTGCAGACAGCATACAGGCTGCAAGGAATGGTCACGGACAGGCAGGCCCAGCAGGCCAAGAGCACACTGGAGCCTAGCAGAGCACACACGGGCCTGGTTGGGGCTGAAAGGAGTCCAAGCTCACCTCTGGATTTACTACGGCCTATCACCCTTCCCTCAAGTAGACTCCCGAGCCCAGTGGATCCTAGAAACCTCCTCACCATCCAGCCCAGGCCCTAGGCCTGGGGAACCCTGGGTTCTGCCTGGGCCCAGCCCTTCTGCAACACAGTGATTTTTCTTTTTCATCCTCGAACAACAGAGGAAGCCATTTCCTAACAGTTGCAGAAGTTACACCAACACAGGAAATGCGCATCTGGGGGCAGACATATCACAACAAGCATGTCCTCACCTCCTCCGGACCTTGTGGTGGATGATGACACCTGCCAGGGCGACCACGGCGGCCAGCAGCACCAGGGCCACCAGCCCCCAGAGCGGAGGGCTCCCAGGGCCTGGGAGACACAGCCTCACGTCAGCCAGGCCAGGGTGGAGGGCCCGGGAAAGGACGGCCTTTCTGCCCTCTCAGCCATGTTCTGAGCCCACGCCTGGCCCCAGCCCTCCCAGCTCTCCAGCCACGTGGGAGGATGTGGCTTGGGGAAGACGTGAGGCCATCCTCTCTCGGAGGTGAGGCGCGGGCTCTGCCCTGGCCACCTTCAGGTCAGTGCTCGGGGCTGCCAGCCCTCCTTTCCTCCTGTGCCCGGGGCCCACCCCCTCCTGTGCCCGGGCCCACCCCCTCCTGTGCCCAGAACCCACGCCCTCCTGTGCCCAGAACCCACCCCCTCCTGTGCCCGGGGCCCACCCCCTCCTGTGCCCGGGGCCCACCCCCCCTCCTGTGCCCCAGGCCCACCTGTCTGTGCGTCCGTCAGTCGGCCTGCACAGTAGGGTGGCGCCCAGCCGAGGTGGCAGTGGCACTCTCTCTTGTGGTTGCACACCTGGAAGAACGCTGGGCCTCAGAGTGGGCAGCTCACAGGCAGCGGGCCGTCCGGCACGCAGCCCTGGAACAGCCCCTTACCCCCGCCCGCCCGGCCTCCCCGAGGCGGAGGGCTGCCCAGTGACCACATCATCAGGCAGCCAAGGCCTCGTCTCCGGACATCCACGCTGGGCTGAGCCTCCACCCCTGCACCGCTGCGCCGCTGCCCGTGCCACAGGACCGCCAGACCCAGGCCGTGGCACAGCCCAGTGCGGGCACCACGGGCGAGCGGGCACTGCTCCTCGGACCACACGTACCCCGTGGTTGTGGCACTGGGCAGAGCAGTTCTGCTCTCCATAGACACTGAGGTCCTGGCAGACCCCCTTCCAGCAGACCTGGGGGAGAGAGTCTCTGGTCAGGGCTGTGCACCACTAGGGACGCTGTCCTTAAAACCCAAAGCCTAACCCCAGGTGTATGGGTGCCTTGCCCAGGGCACCCTGCGTCAGCCCTCGGGGGACGGCCTCAGCTGCTCGCTGAGCCTGGAGGCTCAGGACAGGCTTTGGGGGTGACAGTGGTCTCCAAGCAACTGACTGGGGGACAAGAAGGACGGCTCAGTGGCAAAGCGCCTGTCTGATAAATGAGGCTGTGAGTTCAAGTCCCCCCAGAAAGAACATGCAGACACCAGCTGGGGACAGGCACGGCCCCACCCACCGGCCCGCGCCAGCTGCAGCCCGAGCTTGGAAGTGGTCTGAGGAGGGCCTTGGACGGGCCGTGTCCAGGACCCGTGGCCCTGGGGTGGGGCTCACGCACCTTCCCCTCTCCACACCTGGTGCCCTCGGGCACAGGCTCATAGCGGGTGAGGCTGCTGTCCATGACGAGAGCTCGGCAGGGGCCTCCGGGGGAGGGGAAGACACAGGACCCTCGCTCGGGGGGCCTCAGCCCGCCCATGCAGTACAGAGTTCCACAGCTGTTGATCCTGTGGGCAGAGGGACGGCCGTGGTCCCAGGCAGGCCGCCACTGCGGCGCGGTGCCGGGGGCCCAGAGCCCATCCCTCCCCTTTCCCAGGAGGACCCCCAGCTCAAGCTGGAGTCTGGAAGGCAGGGAGAAGCCCCAGAGAGCCGCCTTCCTCACGTGGCCTGACCCCAACGCTCCTGGGATGACCCTGCAGGCCAGCCGTCCAGTGGGTCCAGGTCGCAGTCCAGCCTGGATACTCACCTGCCTCTGCCAGAGAGGATCGGGCCCTGGCAGCCCAGAGGAATGCTGTGGGTGAAGCAGATGTCCGCTGCAGCCTGGGCACCTGGGGTTGGGACAGGTTGGTCTGGTCGAGGCCACAGCGGCCCGCAGGCGGCCCCACGTCCGGCCTTCATGCGCCCTCACCTGGTCCCCACAGCTCCTGGCACCGCCGGTCCAAGCTGGGGCAGCTGCCATTGAAGCAGTAGCCCCCGGGACAGGGCGTGCCGTTCTCCCGGAAGGCATCCTTGGGGCATGTTGGCTGCCGGCCGTCACAGAACTCCTCCAGGTCACACTCATCCCTCTGCACGCGGCAGGGCTCGCCGGCTGGCTTCACCTGCAGCCCCAGAGAAGCTCGCGTGGGACAGGCCCAGGTGAGGCCGGTGTCCCCGGCCCTGGGGGTCCTGTGAGTCCTACTCACCTTACAACTGTGGCAGCAGCTGCCATAGGCACACTCGGCCCCCTCGGCCAGCTGGCAGGTAGTGGCATTGCAGCAGGGGTTCTGACAGTCCTGGGGGGACAATGGCTAAGCCACTGCGCCGGGGCTGGACGCGGCTAGGAGTCCAGGCCCGCCGGCCACTGGCGGGGTCGCAGCCCTCTGCCTGCCTTAGCATTGTTGGGATCAAAGGAGAAGGGTGACCTGTGACCCCGAAGGCCGCTGCGCGGTGGCGCACAGGACTCCGGCCCAGGAGACGCCCTCCCCCAGGACTGGGGCGGCGGCGGGCGCACGGGCGCAGGGCCTACCTCGGGGCTGCCGCAGTCACACTGCTCCCCGTGCTCCACAAACAGGTTTCCACACACCGGGCCGCCCACCAGCGTGTCCAGGTCTGGGGCGTTGGCCAGGCAGATGGTGTATGGCATCTCCACCAGCTCCTGCACGTCAGTCCGGCTGCAGTGGCTGAACACCTTGGGGAACTTGGAGCTGAGGGCAGGAGTGATGCGGTCAGGGAGGGCCCCGGCCCACGCCCCACCCTCCCCACGGCTCTGCCCGCTGACACCTCAGGCTGCCCGCCATGACGCAGCCTCCGTCCTCCCTCGACGCCGGGCAGTAGCAGCCTGGGATGTTCTCGTCGTGGTTCATGCCCAGGTTGTGACCCAGCTCGTGGGCCATGGTGGACGCCACACCAAGGGCGCTGTGGCTGTGGTCCTGTGGTGACAGCGCTCGTGAGGCCTCTGCCAGCTGCCCCTGGCACCCAGGGCTTCCCCCCACAGCCCAGGAGAGGCCGAAGCCCGGTTTCCGGATGGCAGCCCGCTGACAAAGCCAGCAAGGGGTTCTCTTCACCTGGTTCACAGCCCCCGAGTCCCGGGAGCACACGGCTGACACGCGGGCCAGCCCCACGGTGGCCCCGACGAAGTCCCTTCCCCTAGGAACAAGCAGGACACGCGGCCCTCAGGCGGCTGCTGGGCGCCGCCCTCCCCTCGGCTCTCCCGGGCAGCCTGCCCTGGAGGCCGAGCGGCCAGCCGTCCACTCACGTGATGAGCTGCACGTTGTCGTGGTGATGCCGGCCCAGCAGGGTCCGTTCCCGCCAGGACAGGAAGTTATCCAGTGTGACGTTGGCATGAGGGCTAATGTAGATCTTGTCCCTGCTCCAGATCTCTAGGCCCACCAGGACTACACGGAAATTCAGTTCCTGGTAGAGCTGCAGAAGACGGGAAGCCCTGGGGTCAGACTAAGGCACGAACGAACACTCGGCCTGGTCCGGGCTCTGCCGAGGGCAGAGGGAGTAAGGGCCGGGTAGAGCGGGCCTCGGCTCCCCTCCCCCTCCAGGGGGTCTGATGGGCCCAGGAGAAGCCCGGGACGGCGCTGCCGACCTTGTCCACATGGTTGACCACCTCCAGCACCCGGCTGCGCACGGCTTCCCTGGTCCTAAACTGCTGGAGCTAGAAACACAGGACACTCAGGCTGGAGCCCAGCCCCTCTGTCCCAGCCGCCCGGCCCGGCCCGGCTGGAGCCCAGCCCCTCTGTCCCAGCCGCCCGGCCCGGCCAGGCTGGAGCCCAGCCCCTCTGTCCCAGCCGCCCGGCCCGGCCCGGCTGGAGCCCAGCCCCTCTGTCCCAGCCGCCCGGCCCGGCCAGGCTGGAGCCCAGCCCCTCTGTCCCAGCCGCCCGGCCCGGCCAGGCTGGAGCCCAGCCCCTCTGTCCCAGCCGCCCGGCCCGGCCAGGCTGGAGCCCAGCCCCTCTGTCCCAGCCACCCGGCCCGGCCCGCCCCGGGGCCCTACCTCCACGCTGTCTGTGACCACATACATCTCCACATAGTGGGTCTCCGGGGACAGCAGCTGGCCCTGGGGAAGAAACGAGTCATCAACGCCGCGGTCCGCGCCTGACCCAGAGCCCAGCCTCGGCTCCGTGTGGCCAGGCTCGGCTGCACAGCTCTGTGCGCAGAGGTGTCTCTGAGCTGTGAGGCTAAGCTACGCCCAGGCTCCCCGGCTCGTGGACAACTACTGCAAACAGTAAGGCCGAGCCTAAGCGCGGGGCCTGTGGCAGCACGACCAGGCGGGGATGGAGTTGCTCACCCTGTAGTGAGGCCTGGAGGCTGCGGAAACCCGCATCCCCAGGAGGTTGTCCAGGCTGGTTTCACTGACCCCACAGCTGGCCCCAGCCCGCTGCTTCAGGTGCTTGGCCTGGTACACTGCGTGCGGCCCGTCCCCAGTGTTCCCGTCCAGAGGCTCAATCAGGTGGACGGCGGAGCTCACCTTGAAGAAACCCCTGAGGGGGAGATCCAGGTGAGTGGTGTTTTGAGGTCTTTTGCTTTGTTTTGTTTTGGTGCCGGTCCTCAGACAGCCTGGGCGCTGTCCCTATTTGTGGCTCAAGGCTAACATTCTATCACCTGTGCTACAGCTCCACTTGCAGCTCTTTCTTGGGTGGTTAACTGGAGATGAGTCCCATAGACTTTCCTGCCTGGGCTGGCTTTGAACCCCAACTCTAATATCTCAGCCTCCTGAGCAGCAAGGGTGACAGGCGTGAGCCACAGGTGCCTGGCTAACAGTGGGTACTGACAGCACATCCTCACCAGCCCATCTGGTGCCCGGCACTTCCTCCCACAGGGTCAAGGGTGCACGGGGTGCTCGGGTGCCAGGGCTGCCTCCCCAGCGTCCTCGGACCTCTGTGATTCCACGGGGCGTGGCAAAGGCGTATCTGCAGCACTCACCTGAGGCCGGAGCAGGTGCTGAGGCTGGCAGCGGAGTCCTGGTGGCCCTCCACGTGGCCCTGGTACAGGCAGTGGTCCTGGGGAGGAGGGAGAGGGGTCACCGGTCTGCTGCGCCGTCGCCCGCCCGCCCCCAGAGGGCTCGTCTCTGTACCTGCTCCGGGAGCTGCTCTGTCACCTCAGACCCATTGGCAGCCAAGAAGGTCTCAGTGTAGCCTGAGCCCAGCAGAGCCCTACAAGAGAGCGATTAGAGCCCATGGCCTTGTCTCCCCTGGTCTCCTGTGTGGGGGGACCGGGTGCCCAGCAGACAGGATGAAGACCTCGTACCACCCACTCAGCCTGAGGGACAGACCCAGCTCACCGGTTCTTCCGCAGGTTCAGGGTAAAGGTACGGCCTCCAGCCCCAAGCACATAGCGCACACTCTCTGGGTACAGGCCCTGGATGGGGGTTCAGAGTGAGTGTTCTCCAGGCCGGGAAAGCCCCAGGGGCCCTCTCCCAGGGGAGGCCAGAAGCTGCTGGAACTGGGCTGGGCTGTTCTGGCAGAAAGAGCCTGTCTCTTGGGGGCTGGAGTGGGGGACCCAGGGCTTCTTGGCCTTCCAGGTCCCAGTTTCTGTCTACAAGGATGTGACGACGCCTTTTCAGAGGAAGCAGAGGGAATGGGTCCAGGCCCACGCTCCAGCAGAGCCCTGGAGGTAGAGGCCTGCTCCGTGGCCTGCCCTCTCAGTGCCCCAAGGAGTGGGGTTAGAGCCTAGGACAGCAGACAGGTTCCCTGGGTGCCAAGCTAAGGCCAGGACCAGCAGCCTCCCCTTAGCCCCGGGGCTGTGCTATTTCCCAGCCTAGGGGAATTCCAGTCCAGCCAGAGGACCTGGGCAGTGTCCATGACCCAGGCAGAGGCCCAGGAAGGTGTGTCACGGCCCAGGCAGAGCCCCAGGCAGTGTGTCATGACACACGCTGAGGCCTGCGGTGAGCCATCCCTCTACTCAAGAGGAATCTGATGAATCACCCCGCCAAGTGAAACTGGGGTGTGTCCCGGGCCAGCAGAAGTGGTTGCCCGGCCCCTTTCTTGGTGCTAACAGCTCCTCCAGGTTGGGCTGGCAGAGGCCCTGAAGGAGGTTGTCCCAGGGCCCAATCTGGATGCCCCAGGCTCTGCCGTAGGCTGGGGCCAGAGGAAGGAGCCGTCAGGGTCAGGCCAGCAGTGCAGGCCAGCTTAAGAGGACTTCCAGCCCTGAGAGCTTATCCTCAGAGCCAGAGTTCTGCAGGACAGCCCAGGATGTCCACTCCACCCCTCTACAGAAACAGGCTGAGAGGCCAGCCTGCCGGTGACAGCAAAGACTTACCGCGGGGGACAGGAGGGCTCGGCGGGCTCGGGGCCCAGGTAGGCGCTGAGGCCATACTACCTCATACTGCTCCACATGTGGCAAAGGAGACCCCAGGGCGATTGCTGCGAGAGGGGGGGGCGTCAGGAGGCTCAGCGGGGGCATCTCACCTGGGCCCACCCCTCCTCTGGGGCATCAGTGGGGGGGCCCCCAGAGCCAGCAGGTCTGACCCCGGGGCTCAGGTGAGGACTCTGTGACTCCCTCCAGGAGGCAGACTGAGCCTGCTACACCCCACAGTGCCTAGGGCCCTTCCCCTCAGCCCTCGGGGAGCCCGCCGGGCCTACCCAGGAAGGGTACAGACCCCGGGCAGGTCTACCATCTCCTCTAGCTTCAGAGCACATCTGATTGAGGAACAAGACGGCAATCCTCCCCAGCTCCCTCCCAAGAACTACAATCTCCCTGGTACCAGACCAACAGACCGGGAGTCTCAGGGGTCAGAGGCAGCTCTGGAGACCCCCTACCCCAGGCAACTCTGCCCCTCTTAAACAACAAGACAGAGCCTGTGGGAATGAGAAGCAACGGGAAAAGCGGCCCTGGCACAGGCAGGACACCTCTTAGCAAGGGGTTTCCACACCAGCCACCCAGCAGGCCCCACGCGGAGGGAGACAGGTCCCCTCACTGCTGGGGCACCAGCTCCCATCCCTGCTTGGCTAGAAAAGGCCACAAACCCCACTCCCAAGCCCCTTGGCTGAGGCTCCTTAGCCTCAGGAGACCAGTCAGAAGCCCTCACCCTGCTAGGTCCAAGGGTGGCTGACCAGTAGCCAGACTTCTCTCACCCCTCCCTCTTTACCTCTGGCTTCCGCAGCATCCTGGGCTCTCCGTTTAGTGGCCACCTAATGTACCCATTGCTCCAGACCAGCTTCAAGGACCAAGCAACCTGCCCACCAGGGCCATCCCCACGCCCTGGGGGAGCTCCACTCACCCTGCGGCCAAAGGACACAGACCAGCCAGAGCTGCAGACAGCGCATGGTGGGATCCGGCTCAGGGTTCCTGACCCGCGCCTGGTCCCAGCCCCGTTTCTTTCAGCATGCCCCGCCCCGAGGTCGCAGCCAGCCAATCGCTGGGTGTCGGGGCAGGGCACTAACACCTGGGCTGCGTGACCCAGCCCTTGGCTCCCAGCTGTCCACAGTGCAGCCTGGGGCAACTCCACACCTTCCTGTACTTCCCAGTGTCCCTTTGCTAAGCTGTTCGTTTCTCTGGCTTCCCATAACTGTGGGCCAAACTGATGGGGCTGGGGAAGGGAATGGACCAAACGGGGCCACTGGCTTCAGTTCTGCATTTCCCTGCCCCGTGGGGAAGCCCCACCCCTCGGGCTCGGTGGGGCGTGTCAGGCAGGGGGGGCTGTGGAGGGGAAATGACTCTGCCAGGTTTCAGAGGCGGAGACCCTCTCACTCCACTTCCTGGGCCAAGAATGAAGTGAGTACGGAGCCCGGAGACCACACCTCCCCGCCCCACGGTGCCCAATCCAACCCGGCAGACAGGGCCTGGGGAAGTGGGAGACAGGCAGGCCCCCAGCCCAGGCGGTGGCTGACAGGCAGGCTCCTGCGGGGCTCCAGCAGGCCAGTCCTAGCCCCAGGCAGGAGCCCTTCAGGCCAGACTTCCTGTCTGGCCCTGGTTTCTGCTCATGTCCTGGGGGGGCTGCCCTAGATGGAAGCTTGCAGCTCACCCACTGCATCCTGGCTCCCAGCTTCTCCAGGTGGGCCCCTTCCGCCCGACAACCCAGGACTCTTGGGGCAGTGGCCAAGCCCATTTGCCCTGCGGCCATGTCCTCCACTGTGGCCCAGCTTCCTGGGCGCAGGTGTGGGCTGACCCCACAGCTTCACAACCAACCACAGGGGGAAGGGAAGCCCCTGTCTTCTGGGCAGGGCTTGGCAGTTTGGCCTCTCTCCTGGGCAAGGCTGGTCTTGGACTTCACAATGGGGACTGGACTGGAGGGTCTAAGCTGGGCAGCAGAGGTTCTGTCACACTGCTGCCTGACATCAATGCCACCAGTCAGAACTGCACCCCGGCAGCCCAGGTGTGGGGCATCTCACAGAGGTGTCTGCTGCCTGGGGTGCCTAGTGCTAAGACCCCAGTTTGAGAGAGCAGCAGGCAGGGCTGCTGGGTAAGGAAGACTCTAGCCCACAGAGGACTTTAAACGCTTTTCTTCTGTGCCTTGTGTTCTAAGTGTGACATCAGGAGAGTTTAAGGCAACATACTACAAATGGCATTCAAGGAAAACAAAACATGCATTACTGCTCCCAAGTTAGCCAATCTGATGTAGGTGAAGCCAAACGCACAGGATTTCACACTCGAAGGATGGCATCCCACCAAGACCCCGGGTCATGACGAGGGCCACCCCCCACCCCCAGGACAGACCCTCGGCCTAGCTGATGTGGGTTTAGAAGCCAGGGAACATCGTTTGGGGGCTGTTAGCTGCAGGCCTAGTCTGGCCCTTAACTCTGTGGCACTGATGGGAATGGACATAGTTCCCCGGGAGGGCCCCGCTCTACGCTCTGCTAGGCACTATGGCCAAGCTGCCACCCTGCATCTCCTCTGTGCCCGCTTCCTCCTCATGAGCCTTCCCCGGTGCTGAAGCCCTTTAGAAATGAGCTTGAAATTCAGCCAGAAGAGGCAGCTCAGCCAGCAGCATGACCAGAACAGGATGTCCTGGAGGGCTAGTGTCACACCAGCTCACTGAGGACATCCGGGGGATGCTGATGGACACGGGGAGCCAAGGGAGGTATCTGGTAAGACGGGAGTCCGACTCCCAGAAAGGAGCAACACACAGCAAAGCACACTGCTGCCTCCTAGTGTCTGCAGCAAGCACAGTACCAGGCCCCAGGCCACATCTCCCCCACACAACCGCATCTGGTCAAGAGGAAACCACACACGCAAAAGGTGGATTTTTCTTTTTAAAGAGACAGATACACTTAGGGAGCCTTCACTATGGTCTAGAAGCGTTTAAAACAAAACTCAACACCTTGAGAAAATAAATATGCTGAGCCAAGATGGGAACTCAAACTATATTTAAGCAGTAATAACACGCAGCTCGTGTATTCCAGGAACATTTCAGCACAAATTCTTGGGCCACATGCACCATGGCACCAGCTGGCCCCAAGTAATTCTCCCACATGCTGCCGGTGCTGTCACTGCTACTGAGCAGAGACGGCCACCCTGGGGGCCGGGGCCGAGGTCCCGCGCAGGAGGGGCGCCGGGGGACCGGCCTTCTGGCTCCTCTCTGCAGACAGGCGCTCCAGGCGCCCTAGCCGCTCTGCATAGAAGTCGTTGAAGTCCAGCCTGTGGGTTTGGGAAAGTGAAGCTGAGGCTCTCCTGGAGAGAGCAGGGCGTAGCCACAGGATGGATGCAACCCACAGGAGACCGCCTGCCATGGGCTGCCACGCACAGTCCTGTGTCGCCCAAACCGGTGAGCACCAATGACAGAGCTGACCCACGGCCTCCTCCATTTCCTCTTGTCTCAGCTCAGGTGGCCCCTTGGCTCCACACAATATGGAGACGGTGACTTGAAAACCAATGAAACCTAAAAGCTTGAACGCAGGATTGTCTCCAGGAGGGCACAGTTGCCAATACAGATATAGCCCTTTCTCCCAGCTTCTAGATGCCAAGACTCCTGTCACCCCAATACTGACTGATATGGGGGCCTAAGGGTACCCCAGGTGATCCCAAGATATAAACAGATCCTTTCCCAAGGGCAGCATTGCTTCCTGGCAGAATCTGGGTCCCCTCTCCTCCTCCCAACCCCATCAGAGAAACCCACAGCCCCGTTTCCTTCGTCTGCGCTCAGCCGACCACTGCCTACAGAGAGGGAGGGTTGGGTGAGGAGACGGAGCCAGCTTGCGGGTGGAGGGCAGCACTCACCTGGAGATGACGCTGGCCATGCCGTGCTCCCAGGCACTGGTGCTGTAGACGCTCAGGCGGGCCAGCAGGTCAAGAAGGTGAGTGGAAAAATTCTTGTCAAAGTTGTTGATGGTGGCCTCAAAGCCGGAAGCCAGCTGAGGGGTGTCCACGGGCTCAGCCAGGTGCTAGAAACGAAGCCCAGCAGGGTGAGCGGCCAGCGGCCAGGCTTCAGCCTCTCCCGAGCCCATAGCTGCACAGCACGTCTTCCTCCTTCCCTTGGTTTTGAATCCGGGATATGAGTTCCAGGACAGTTTTGTGAGATAAAAGACGGCTCCTAAGACTTCTACAAGACATGTCGAAGTGCTTTAGGCAACGGTCACCCACCGTATCTGACGATTCTCCAGGCTCAGGACGGAAGCCCCAGCAGTGCAGTAGTGTGGGTCCCCTCTTTACGTCAGATTATCTTGCTAATGCTGTCTTCTCAGAACGAGGGATGAATCCTGCCACCTACCTCTCCTGGCTTTGGCCCACACTCCCATTCTGTGCCTCAGACACACAGGAAGGGGCTTGCTTAACTGTGTGTGTGTGTGCTTTGTGCCAGTCCCGGGGTTTGAACTCAGCCTGGGTGCCACTCTTCAGGGAATTTTTGCTCAAGGCTAACAGTCTACCTAAGCCATAACTCCACTTTCAGTTTTTGGTTTTTTTGTTTTGTTTTGTTTTTTGTGATTAATTGGAGATAAGAGTCTCACAAACTTCCCTGCCCAGGCTATGAGCCTCAGATCACAGCCTCCTGAGTAGCTAGGATTACAGGCGGGAGCCACCCGCACCCAGCTTAAGCCCTGCTTTAATCCGTGTCCGTGCTGGTGGCCAACCTTGCCAACTCCAGGGTGCCCAGGTCTATCCCCTACAGCCCTTGTCTTAGAGTTGGCTATACGACACCCTGGAACCCAGAGGGCTGGAGAGGCTCAGGCTGTGCAGCAGACAAAGCCCTGCTCTGGCCGGAACGGAACCCAACTCAGGCGTCTGTGTCCCATCAAGGGGGAGGGGCCTGCAGGACCAGGTGGGGAGTGGTTTGTTCTCCTCAGTGGTGCTAATGCTGACGCCATGCCACAGATGACTAGGAGAAACGGTCTTAGCAGACAAACTCTGAGGCCACACACCTTCCGAACAGGGTCCTTCTGGGGACGTTCCTCTGCCCGCTCAGCCTCCCCTGGTGGCCCCAGCATGGTGCCCAGCTCGCTGTCCAGTTTCATGCTCTGTGTAAACTTCTGGCAATGAGGCCATGAACAAAGGCTTCTGTTAGTTACTTTCACAGCTCTGCACAAACACCAGGTGTTTGGAGTTGCACCCGACAGACACAGGCAGGAGAGCATCTCTGGGAGATTTCAGGTAAGAGGACCTTGGCTACGCTCACAAACTCCCTGGTCCACTTTTCAGAGTGTTTTCATTGACTTCCGTAAGTTTTCCCATGCTGTTTCCCTATTTGGAAACTCAACCTGGCTTCTGGGCCGCTAGAATGGACTCAAGTTGGATATCTGAGGGATGGAATCTGGGATGGAGTCCAGGATGCACTCAACATGGCTTCTAGAGCCTGAGGGATGGAGTCCAGAGGCCTGCCCTTCCCTCCGTAACCTGCTACCACCTACATCTCCCATCTGCCTTGTCCTGACACTTTCCCAAGTGCTACCTGCAGAGTGCCCTACTCCACCCCTAGCACCTTCTAGCCCCGTGGCCCTGGCTGCCCCTTTACCATCCAACACTCATTTTCAGCACAATGTTTTAAGGTAACTAATTGCAACAAGCATCCGAGAGATACTTAACAGAAATGGGTATTCAAATTCTGGGGAGAAAAAAAAAATCAAAGGCTTAGAAGATGCTCAGGACAGAGGCCAGTACTGGGGTAAAGTGGGAAGAATGAGGCAGCAGGCGGCTCTGCCCATGCCCAGCAAAGGGCCCCAAGAAAGAACACACTCACCATGAAGACCTGGGAGCTCAGCGCAGCGGGGATGCTGACAGGGCTACGTCTAGATGCCGGCTCCTGCCCCGCCTGCCCATGTGCCCCCCCACCACCGACCCGCACTGCCCTGCACCTGCCCACACCTGGGACCACTCTTACCTGCATGCAGTTGGTGAACATAACGCACACAGACATGAGCTTGGAGAAGACCTTCAGCAGCTCAGGGTTGGTCAACATACAGTCCTTCAAGCAATTGTCCAGGAAGCTTGTGTGGTGGCCAAGGACATCGTCAATGTTCGAGGCCTGGGAAGAAAGGGCTGAAACTCAGCACTGTTAAGAGTAACCTAAGGGGGCTGGGAAGGTGGCTCAGTGGTAGAGCGCTTGCCTTGCAATGCATGAGGCCCTGGGTTCGATTCCTCAGCACCACATAAGCAAAAAAAAAAAAAAGAAGAAGAAGAACCCAAGACTATTCTCTCAGAATGGTTCGCTGAAGACATTAGGTGCACATGGCCTTCAGGTCTGCCGAGGTGAGCTTTCACTTACACAGGAGTTCATAGTTCAAATGTACCTACCTCATGGGGGTTACTTATTTGTCTCTCCCTCTCTCAACAACTCTCACATCCACCATGATACAAAGAAGCAACTATCTGCAGTGGCTCTCTGAATGAACTTGAGGCTGTGTGCCCTCGTCTCAGCCTCCTCCTTGGCTGAGAAGGGCAGGCGCGGACTACAGATGTGCGCCTGCGGTCTCTGACACCTGGACACGTGTGGCTCTGGAGACTGCTGTGAAGTCCACCCTGGCTGGCAAGGAGCTTCCAAATGCTACCCTCCATGGAAGCACAAACTCACGGATTTCAGGTTTTTCTCAAGGATGTGCCAGGTTGGTTCCATCACTTCAAACATCATGTAGTACTGAATATTCTGAACAAAGTTGAGCATGCGCTGCCGCAGAGTGAAAGCGCTGGCAAACCTGAGTACACAGAGAGTTACAGGGAAGTGATGTGCAGATGGTCGCTCCTCTGGCAGGGAGGTTTCCTGCAGCTCTGATGCGTGCCAGTGCTGACTGACAAGGAGCTGGAGCCGGTGGCTGCATCAGGACCGCAGGGAAGCATGCTGGCCAGCCCAACGCTCACACGTCCGGCAAAGTCAGTGCATGTGGAGCACAGACCAGCCACCCTGGAGGCAAGCGAACGCCAGCAGCCACCCCACAGCAGACTTCACATTCTGTGCTTTAGAAATTGTCGACTAAGTTTTCCATCAACCTTTTCTTCAAATCCCATCTAATCCAAGACCAATGTACAAAGGACCTCTAGCAGAGGAGCCCCCACACACCGCTGCATGCTTAGAAGAGGGAGCAGAGGCTTTTCCCCTGAAAGGGGCTTTGACCTGCAGACTGACCCAGGTCTAAGGGTGGGCCACGCCTGCAGGGTCAACCGTGGTACCATGCCATGTTCCCAAGTCATGAAGCAGACGCATCACACTAGCACACAAGCTAATGTGACTCTCGCAACAGCTTTTCAAAGATCTAAGCATGAAACCACCCTCGGAGGGACGGGAAAGTGTGCACGACGTACCACTTGGCTGAGTGCAGTGTGTGCTGCTTGGCGGTCTTGTTGCTGATCCAGACACTGCACAGCTGCCTCTCCACGTGCTTACAGTAGAACATGTGCCGGAAGAGCATCTGATAGCGCGTGAGTGCCTTCCTGCACGGTGTGTCAGACACCGGGGAAGGGAGTTACAGGGTGCCCTGGAGACAACGCCTCCACACACCATGCAGGGTGTCTCTGTCCCACAGACCCGGCTCCGGGCGGCCTAGGGCTCACCTGTTAATGATCAGTGACAGGGGCCACTTGACCATGTAGTCGAAGGAGAAGGCCTCCAGGCCGCTCAGAGTGAGCTCGGTGGGGTCGGCGTGGGTCATGGCCTTCTCCTGCTTGGTCTCAATGGCCAGAACTCGCAGAAGCTGAGTGATGAGGTCATGAGGCATCAAGTCAATCTTGGGGGAGAAAAATCAAAGTGTCCAATTCTTAGAGGAAAAAACTAGTCATTCCTTACCTATACTTACCCCTGCATCATGGGTTGGAAAAGTAACAAAGTTCCTGAATACTGAGATGGTATGAATTTCTTTTAAGGGTCTGGGAATGGAACCAGAGTCCTGTTCATACTTACCAAGTGTCCTACCACTAAGCTACACCCTGACTCTTTTAAGTATTAGAGGCCAGCTTAAAAATTCAAATACCACCAAGTGCTGGTGGCTCACACTTGTCATCCTAGCTACTCAGGAAGCTGAGATCTGAGCATTAGGGTTCAAAGCCAGCCTGGGCAAGAAAGTCTGTGAGACTCTTATCTCCAATAAGCCACTAGAAAACCGGAAGTGGCACTGTGGCTCAAGTTGGTAGAGAGCTTGCCTTGAGCTGAAGAGCTGAGGGACTGCACCCAGGCCCAGAGTTCAAGCCCCATGACCAACAATAACAACAACAAAGTCAACTAAGTGGGAGTTCAAAAGTTAGGCTGTGAGTGTGGTGGCTCAGTAGCAGAGCATTTGCCCAGCATGTGTAAGACTAGTGCTCAATCCCCAACACCTCCCATTAAAGTGGAAGAGAAAAACACTGCTGCCTTTTAAATGCCTCCTGTTGAGCCTCAAGAAGAATCAGATAAACCAAGTCTGTTAGGATTGAAATCATTCTTCTAGAGTAAGCACTGCATACAGGTGGCTAGGATAGACTAGAAGCTGGAGTTCTGAATACAGGAAGAGGATGAAACAGGGTTGAAATAAATTGTTTGCAAGTATGAAATCAAACCATGAGAACTGTTGAGATTGTTTTAGGAAGGGAAAGGGGAGAGGGGAGACTGGAATATGTTATAAACACAGTGAAATCCCCTATATAACTAATGAAAGTTAATCCACAAAAAAATAAAAAGCAGAAGGAAAAAGAAGTCAGAGTTCTCAGTAACATCAACTAGCAGGAGACAGACCCATGACTAGTCTCCAATAAAGACGGACCAATGTCCACCAGGCACCAAAGAACCCACTCTGCTCCCCAAGCCCTGGCAAGGACGGGAGCAGGGGCATGTCCACATGCATTCTGCAAGGCCAGCCTGACCTGACACGGGGACCCCAGGCCAGCAGCCTTCAGGAGACCTGACGTATCCAACCCTCAGGAGATGCTGAAGTATCTAGAAGGTTCTGGAATGAGGAAGAACACACAGCACAAGTCCTTGGCCTTTTGGTCAGTGCTGGGTTGAGCTGGGCCCTACTGTGTGCTTACATCCAGTGTCTCAGAAGTGGGGTGCTGTGCTTAGAAACAGCACTCACTTTGAGGTCATCTTTGAAGGGATCCGTGTTGGCAGTGCTCATCCGCAGGGCCAACTCCAGCAGTGCCTCCAGACGCGTGGGTGTGATGTCCTCCACTGGCTTCCTGAGCTCTTCCTCAGTGAGGTCCATGAAGTGCACAAAGAAGTCACCCTGGTCCATCAGGAAGTAGCGCTTGATGGACCTGTACAGGGAGGAGGAACTGAGCTCATCACACAGGGAGAGGAACTGAGCACATCACACAGGGAGAGGAACTGAGCACATCACACAGGGAGAGGAACTGAGCTCATCACCCAGGGAGAGGAACTGAGCTCACTGCACAGGGAGAGGAACTGAGCACATCACACAAGGAGAGGAACTGAGCTCATCACCCAGGGAGAGGAACTGAGCACACTGCACAGGGAGAGGAACTGAGCACATCACACAGGGAGAGGAACTGAGCTCACTGCACAGGGAGAGGAACTGAGCTCATCACACAGGGAGAGGAACTGAGCTCATCACACAGGGAGAGGAACTGAGCTCACTGCACAGGGAGAGGAACTGAGCACACTGCACAGGGAGAGGAACTGAGCTCATCACACAGGAGAGGAACTGAGCTCATCACACAGGGAGAGGAACTGAGCTCACTGCACAGGGAGAGGAACTGAGCTCATCACACAGGGAGAGGAACTGAGCTCACTGCACAGGGAGAGGAACTGAGCACACTGCACAGGGAGAGGAACTGAGCACATCACACAGGGAGAGGAACTGAGCACATCACACAGGGAGAGGAACTGAGCTCACTGCACAGGGAGAGGAACTGAGCTCATCACACAGGGAGAGGAACTGAGCTCATCACACAGGGAGAGGAACTGAGCTCATCACACAGGCACAGGGAGAGGAACTGAGCTCATCACACAGGGAGAGGAACTGAGCTCATCACACAGGGAGAGGAACTGAGCACACTGCACAGGGAGAGGAACTGAGCACACTGCACAGGGAGAGGAACTGAGCTCATCACACAGGGAGAGGAACTGAGCTCATCACACAGGGAGAGGAACTGAGCTCACTGCACAGGGAGAGGAACTGAGCTCATCACACAGGGAGAGGAACTGAGCTCATCACACAGGGAGAGGAACTGAGCTCATCACACAGGGAGAGGAACTGAGCACATCACACAGGGAGAGGGCACTGTGCATACTGGCTGTGCACAGACTTCCACACAACCACCACAAAAGAGAGGGCTTGGGTAGTTCTCTGCAGCTCTCTGAGGGGTGGACACGGTACTACCACTTGGGCTGTGGCAGAGAAGGTATGGCTAGTCCCTGGAACACACAGTCTATTTCACACCCTTCAGTGGACACATGGTACCATGAGCTAGACAGTCTGGCAGCTTGCCCACTTTCACAAAGAAAAATGAGGATTGCTAAGAGAAACACTCCAATCTCATCCCCATGATCACAGATTCTACTCATGCATAGAAGGTAAGCGGTACCCATGGTAACCGAGTAAAGAACTACCTCAAGTGTGCCACTAGCTCCTTCTCCTCCATCAGGAAGTCCAGTAGCACCTTGCTGGCATAGTTGAATGCCTTCTCGATCTGCTCAACGTACACTCGCTCTTGGAGTGTGTAGATGATCTCTTTGGCTACCGGGCAGGTAACATCACGGCCACACTCTCTGACCACATTTAGGTATTTTCCTGAAAGAGGATGGCAGATACAAACTATCACTTTGAATCTCAGGCTGGTATCTCTCAGGCCCTGCCAAACCCTGGGCAGTGCACTGGCCGTGACACGGCCCTGTACTTGCTTGGTCCAGGCAAAGGCATTGTCCCCAAAGGGACTGGCCAATAACTCTGGGGACCTGTAGTGGCTCTTCATGTCTTCATTTTCCCAGTCTAGTGCCCAGGAATAATTTCAAAAGGGCCTTATGACAACCAGGTTGCTAAACCATCTTCCACTCTTTCTACTCTAGCTCAGCTCTCATAATTAATAGAGCAAGGCCCTGAGGGACTCACCCAGTATCTAAATCAATCCTAACCTGTGTGGCAGGACTAACAGGGCAGCTGAACCAGCAGGCATGGGTTCTTGGTAGTTTTTCCTCCAGTGATACAGTTTTAGAAGTTAGAAACCAAAGACAGAACCTTCCAGTCAAGGGACAGAAAGAGGCCAGGTTCCACTGAGCATAGGAACTACAAGTGGTCAGTACGGTGGCTAAGTCTTCCCAGGCCACAGGGTTAGTTTCATTTTTTTTGGAGGGAGGGGTCCAGTCGTGGGGCCTGAACTCTGGGCCTGGGTGCTGTCCCTCAGCTCTTCAGCTCAAGGCTAGCGCTCTACCACTTGAGCCACAGCACCCTTCCGGCTTTTTTCTTTTTGCTTATGTGGTGCTGGGGAATTGAACCTAGGGCCTCATGCATACAAGGCAAGCGCTCTACCACTGAGCCACCTTCCCAGCCCCCAGGCCACAGGGTTAGAAGGATATGACCTCTCCACGCTGTGGTCAGTACGCTGGCTAAGTCTTCCCAGGCCACAGGAGCTAGGACACCAGTTCTCCAGCTGCGCTCACCTGTGCTGAGGATCTTGCCCGCCACCTTCTGCAGGAAGGAGGGTATCTGCTGAGGCACCACGGTGTACCGCTGGTCCCAGTACTTGTCATTGTAGTCCTCCTGGATCTTCTCCTTCCGCAGCTCATGCTCCTCGACCATGAACTCACTGGAAGTCATGGAGGGCATCTCAGGCCACCAGGGGACAAGCACAGCTGCCAGGAGGTGGCTAGCTGGCTGCATGCTTCCAGAAGCGCCTCACCAAGGCAGGCACAACTCACTGTTGTTAGTTCTCAACTGTGAGTTAAAATCTAACTTGCTGGGCAGCAGTGTCTCATCTCTGTCATCCTACCTACTCAGAAGGCTGAGATCCGAGGAGCACAGTTCAACGTCAGCCCAGGCAGGAAAGTCTATGAGACTTTTTTCTTTTTGTTGGTTGTGGGGCTTGAACTCTGGACCTGGGCGCTATCT